CGCGAAAAGGAAACCTATAATTTTTGCCAGAGTTAAGATTTTTCGGAAAATTAACATTAGTTCAGGAAAGTAACTCATCCTTCAGAATACGTGTGCTGATAAAATATAGGGAATCAGACACGATCTACCTAACTGTGAAAAATTCATGATTGAGAAAAACGAAATTGATGTATCTTGAAGTATGATATGTTTTCAGTTGTTTTAAATATATAATTTACTAACAAACGCTCAATTGTAGCCCTTTTTCTGCACTCGCTTCTCTCATCTTTTATGCCATTTCCTCTTATACAGTGTGATATGAATTCTTTTTCAGTTCCAAGGTATTATGGTCGATCCTAAAGTACCAAACCTGTTCTACTGAATCGACCGAGAGTTGTGTTTTTTCCTACGTATCTGGCTGATAAACTAGTCATTGCTCTTCAGAGTTTATGTTAATTTTTGTCGTACTAACCGTGTTTTGCGGCTCATGCAGCATAGTCATGGTTGTTGTCTGCCGCTAACGTTTTGCCGGTTGTACGAAATTCCGAGTAAAATTATCGTCATAATTGTTTCTAACTGTACGTGGCATTCACGTGTTTGAAAGACAGGAAGGCAGTCCGGCCATGGTAAATTTTTCAGAGTTCGGCTGCAAATACTCATCATGTGATGTGGCCGTTAATTCTTTATATTTTTCTTTGAGTATTAGTGTTCAACTTTGTTTACCGATCAGCAGAAAATGTCTTCTGTAGATAATCCTGTCACCCACATGCATGTAAAGCATTCCCCAAGTCGTAGAAAATTTTTGCCCTCCGTTTCCTTATAAACACGAACCAGCCTTTTAGGCTCATTTATTCATTTTCAGTGCCCGATATTCTTTTCAAGTCGTAAGGGCAGCAACGTAAAGAAGTTTCTCTAATGATTTCGGTTCTCCGTCAGTCGGATGAGCGTAATGAACTTCATTTCAAGACGCGATAAGGGCTGTCCCTCAGTATTATCGAGCCACATGAACTTAGATCTGCCTTTTGGTAGCCTTTTATGCGGTTTCAGCAGGACACATATTGATATCTTACTTTGATTATTAAGCAACTTGCATATTTTGCATTTCCATTATTAGCGCTATTTGACTGTTGTGATGAACTTTGTCTGTTAGCGTAATAGTGACTGTGAAAGTGTCAGTGAATAGTACTTCACCGCTTTTGTCCATTTCAGGCATTTTTATGCAACCCTAGTGCAAATGATTCTGACCTTCAGCCAATACTCTTGAAGCTTTCTTTTACCGGAAAGTGAGTTGAATTCATTTTTGTCAGTAACTTGCTTTGTTGCCTTAATTTCAGGATTTTGAGGAAGCTGCGCAAGTTGTGTCTACTGAAGCTAGCGATTTTGTATGTTCGCGATGAACGTAAGGTAGGCAGAACGACATATAAGATTTTCTACTTACCAAACTTCGATTTTCTTGACGAACGTCGTGTCTCATCCTGTTGGTTTCTTTACTTGCTTCCGGGGTAGAAATTCGCCTGAAACTGTTCGCACTTGTAACAATATAAATTTGTTGATTTTATTTTCATTACTTTCGATGTTACGTTCATTAGTCATCGAACTCTCTGATGATTCTGCTTCACTATTTTGATATTTTCTTCTTGCGAAAGATGGTTATTGTCATAGAATTCAAGATGATTTACCCATGAGTTTGCCTATAAGCAGAATCGCTATGTAGTCTAAGGCCAAATTAAGCAAACTAAGCAAGCTGAATCACTCTGTTTCATTCTAGTGTTGTATATAGTTAGGCAATGTATAACTCCTCCAAGACCAGATTTCGCGGATTATTGCATCACTTTCTTTTATTTGACCGTGTGATGGGGGCATTGGATCAGGCCACGACTTTAGAGTATTTGTGCACCTGCTGTGTCAGATGCATCTGGCATCATTTTGTTTGCTATAGCCATCTCACTTTCAGTATGAACGACTCTCAGGAGCTGCTACTCCTTATATGCTATCACACATGATCGTATGTTCGTGCGCTGGAGTATGTCAAATAACGTGACTCCTCCAAGGCTAAACTAAGCAAAAAGGTGACGTACTACACCGTGAAGCCTGTTATACGTTATTTAATGTATTCCGGGTATGAGCATGTGCTCATATTTATGTGGTATCATATACGGTGTACTAGCTTCTGAAACGTCATTCGTTACGAGTCCAGGGTGGCTCTTCTGAACTGAATCATGCGAGATAAATCTGGCACTGCTAGTGCTCAAATGTCATGGAACCGTAGCCTGTTAAATAGCTCCCTATGCAATTAGGAGCAAGAGAGCGGTGCAGTACACCATAAAATCTGGTCTTGGAGGAGTTATGCGTTGTATGACATTCTCCAGCGTATGAACATATTTTGAAGTTTACGTTGTATATCGGTGATTTATGTCTAAACGAAAAAGCCCTGAACTGTTCGGTTACCAGAGGAATAAAAAAATATTTCACACTTTCGATTCTGGACCCATTGTTGGAATTGTAACGATTTTGATAGCCATAGTTCAGAACACAAAGCGCAGCTATTGTCCTACGTTTAAAACTACAGTGTGAATTTTCGTGTGTCTTGTTATCCGACCGTCAATACTCATCAACGAGCAAGCCTCAGAAAACGAAGAAGAGCATGACTAATTAGAGAAAAAAGAAAAAAAGGAGGTAGGAGAAAAATTTAAAAATAAATGAGTTAAAAAATTCCCGCTGTTGAACACCAGCAGTATATGGACAGGTCTCCCATCATTATGTGGAGCACAGCAACGTCTTGCTTACTATGGGAAGTACTCCAAGAGACTATTTCTTCTCAGGAGATTACTGCTACTTCACTCTCAGTATTTTTTGTTTCCAGACTGGATTTAAGAACCGTTAAGTCCCTTTATAAATGATCTTAACTATAGTTTCGTGCTGGAATCCCGGTGCTGATGGAATAAATTTCTTTTGAATGTGACCAAGACATCAAAGCGTAAGGTTGGTACGGAAAAGAGTGGTACTGTAACGCATTTGCTTAACTTGAAGGCTTCACCTTCGAGGCAAAATACATAGACTTTTAGTATATAAAGTTTTTCATCCGAAAGTTACGCATTGACGTCTTAGCCATGTCTCAGGAAGCCATTCTTTTACGTTCATTACAGGAGAGTTCAGTGGGTAGAGTGCTGGACTCGTAGTAAAAACATTCGATAAATGGAATTCTCCATTCTAAGTAATAATCAGATATGCATTTCGGCTCGGCGTTATAACTACAGTTAAATATGAAGATTTTTCTTCTGGAATGGTATAACCGAAGAACACCATTTTTCAGCATGCAAATAGAAATCATATCAAAGAAGGAAACAAAGGCATTTGACATTGCATGATGTGACGGGACAATAAAAGGTACAGCTGTAATCGCAATTTTGACCAGTCGTGAAACAAAAAGATAAAATATGAAGGTAATAAAAACATGTGCCAGTTAACAGATTAAAGAACGTATAAAAATCCATTCGCGTGAAAATAAAATTATATTATGCTAATTGTAATCAAATAGGGCATTATTTAACAGTCTCAGGATTCTTGAGAATGTTTGCTGATCATTACGCATAAGCTGTTCCGTCCTCGTTGAGATGTTCCATAAACTTAGATTTTGTACCGTCCGGTGGGATAAGCGCTTTGAATGGAAGTCACGTAAAGGATGTGAAATATTATTTAGTATGTTATTTTCGGTGCGGACTTCATATGCGATGGCTGAGTGTAGATGTTATTTAATGGCGAGCCGCCCTGCCTTAGCACATATTTGAAAAACTGGCTCACTGTCAAAAATGTAATGGGTTGGTATTCCGGTAAAATAACAGCAGCACCATATCGTGATTTCTCTGATGTTAAGCATCCGGTTTGCTGTACGTGATGAATGTTCTCTGCTCTCAATTTCTTTTTTTGCCATCTGTCAAGGATCTTCCAGAACCTTCTTCTTTCTAGACTGTGAGTCGTCATTACCTGTTCAGAAAGTACATTACACGATAAAGAGCCTTCACTGCGCTTTGCGTTTATGTGAAATATGTTTGCGGATTCTTCCGTCCAGTCAGAGGATCGGACTGTGGGTTCAAACCTCGCTGAGTCAGTCATTTTTTACCTTATCGATGTAGATAAACGAGTTCCAAAATCTTAAACGAAGTAAGAAACTACTTAATAGATTTGCCATCTGACATAGGTACTGGTTTCAACAAGGTAAGGAACTCATGTTGATGGCATTGAGTCGAAGATGAAGTAGGAGAAAGGTTGCCGCAGAGATCGCCAATCGTAGAATTTTAGGAGAGACCGAAATCCCAGCAGTGTTATATCATTATTAAGTATTTTCATGATATGTTCAATGACTGATCTGTTTTGTTAAATTTAGTGTCGATTTTGTCTGTTTTTAGGAGTGCAGAAACCGTGTCCCTTGTTGGAACGATGCCCGCTATATGAAAGCTAGGAAATTTGTCGAAAGAACCGAAACTGGTGTTGAAAGACGCATCGCCAATTTATCAAAGTTCCCAAATGAGATTTCTTTCAGATCATGCGAATTCTTCCACAGCACAATG